AATAAATTAGAATTAAAGGTATATTTATATGTAAAATTAAATGCTAAACGTTTTTACTTAAGATACCTACATATGGTTTTCTTAATACAATTTTGAGATATTATACCGGGTATTATACCCACCGGGTACAAATAGAGATCTTCATAAATATATACTATTGTATATTACTATAATAAAAGTGTAGTAACTTAGTGAAATAGTTAAATTATTATCTTCCAAATATATATTAAAGTTTAAATTTTACTTATCATAAAAAATTAATTTTTTGTTTATATTATCATTTAAAATTAGTTAAAATAAAATATCTGTAATTTTAATTATATTAGCAAAACTATGAGATCAGAGTATTTATAAATATATATTAATATATATATATATATCAAAAACAGGTTATAGTTTTTTTGAAGTATTGAATTAAAAATTTAAAAAACTGTAGCAGGCTACTAAAGTATTAAAAATATACTATAAAGTAGATATTGGGGTTTGTATAAACTCTATAAAGATTAAATAAATGCAGGATTATCACTAGTATTAGAATTTAGACTAAGGTTTAAATAGTTAATAGTATACTAGTATTTGCAAAGTATTCTTAAACCAAAAAAAAAAGACTAGATTTAAGATTAATAATAATAGATAATCTTGTAAAGAATACTAGAGAGTTTAAATAGAAAATCTATAGGCGAGTCAGATATAGCATTTGATAGATAATTATAATTAGAAATAGTTGTAATAAAGCTCTTAAATAAATAATAACTAAAGTTATATATATAACCAAATATATTCTTATTAACTTGTAAATAACAATTAAAGTTAATAAATACTAGTCTACTCTGCTAATTTTTAAAAAAATATTACTGTACTATGCATTATTATTATATATAATTATACAGAGCGTATAAATAAATAAGATTTATATAACTATATTCTTAATTACTTTAATTTTTGTAATTGTTAAATAATTGATTTTAAAACTCTAAAAGTAGTTACCGGTAATTAACAATTTTCATAATATTGAACTCTTATATGTTAACTCTCTAACTTTTATTTTGTTAATATAGTATATTTTATTAAAATTTGGTTAAACATATAAAAAAATTATATATATATAAATCAAAATCAAATTAATAAAAAAAAACTATACAGTATATTATAAATTAGATTTTTATACCACCAATGATTACCTCACTAAAGATTGACGATATATTAGAATTACAAAAGAATAATAAAAAAAAAATTTAACCAACTAATCGAATAAGCGATACTTTTAATAAGAACAAGTAAAATAAAACATAAAACACTTGAATAAAGCTTTAATAACCCTCTTAACCATATATAATTAATTGGCATTATTTTCTTACGTATTCGCAATAGTAATTTTTTCAATATTATATAAATAAAGATAAGGCTTTTCTAAACATTGAAACTCAATTTCATGTGATTTCTATAAATAAATTTCCCACATTTAACGTACGTACGTACGTATACGTAATAAATAACTTTCCTTATTAACCCTAATTAACTAATAAATCACGCATACTTATTATAATAATACTCTTTTTGTTAATGTTAACGTCGTTGTTAAATCCGTGTTTCATTCAAAATGCATTATGGTGGTTATAGTTACACGACGACAACTATTTAGATGTCAAATGTAGAAAATCATTAGCGGATGATCAATTCAGCGAAACAAGATGTTCAGAAATTCATAAAATAAAATGCTTTTGATATATTATTATTCATCGAAACAAACCTCTGCATCTATTATTCTGATTTGGTGACATATAAAACGCTCGTCGTTATATGTTAATACTATATTAAGTATTCGAAATGGAACCATGTTATGAAACACTATATATTGCAGAGCTTAAGCGGATTATTTATTTGGTACATCGTATGTACGTATGTACGTACGTACGTGCGTACGTCCATAATATTGTATCTGTGTTCTCAGAATGTAACCGTATAGTGATCAAATTACGTAAAGGTAACATTTTTTCAGAGGTTAATTCCCGATAAGATGTAACTTTAAGTTCGTACAAAGGTATGTATGCATGTGCGTATTTGCGAGCTGGAGTATATCAGATAAAATAGTACGGTACAGAACCGCAAAGTAGGACAGTTGTAAAAAAAACTTTTTTTCCTAACACGAGAAAAGAAGAATATTAGCACTTGACCATTAAAAAATGGGGTATTAAACTTTATACTATCTATACTATCTATACTCGCACGAAGTAATGCCTCGGGGGGCATTATTTTTGAGACACACAATTTAAAGAGAATCCATTTGGTTGATAAAGAAAATTAACTCTTGGCTGAAAGTAAATAAAATTTTTTTTAAAAAAAAATCTTAGCTAAATTATTATCTTATTGTATGTATATATATACTAACTTAAAATTATCATATATTGACCTAAAATTATCAAAAGCAAAAAAAATTTTTTTCTTAAATGTTTGAAATTTTTTTTGCTATGTACAGTACTAAATAATTTCAAATCAGTATACATATATAGTAATATATATCAGTACACGTATATATATAGCAGTATATATAAATTTTTTTACCATTTTGAAAATGAATAGTGAAAAAAAATTCCTAGCTCACCAAAGTTGTGTTTCAAAACAACGCCCGGAGGCGTTATTTCGCGCAAATACAGTAAGTCAATGTTAAGCATCTGTCCGAATTCGTACTATGGTACGTATTACTACTTTACCGAAAACCATTTGACTAATACTAATCATAACCATTGTTTTAAAACTTATCCCTTTTATTAAATTCCTTCCCAACTTACGGAATTTTACATTACTTGTACATGTGATGATAATTAAAATTATTAAAGATTTTCTAAATGTCGATTCGCTTAAATTACTTAATCTGTGGACTATTAATCAGCAGAGTGACAGAACTATGCAAAAAGGCGTTACATGATTTCCAGAAAAGGTTGTGAACATTTGTTTATACCGCTGAATGGTCTAGAGTATGCGTGATTATTATGATAGATTTTATTAAGTATTTTTGGTTGATATGAAAGTAGTGGTAAACTTAATTGGTCAGGTTTTCATGTAACCATTAAATATTAAAATAATAGGATTCAAAAAGTACCAAATATATGCTGTACAATTTTTTATATCTTTATCTACTAAATTTGCCATCCTTTTCTTTAAAAATTTATTCATTTAAAAATAATTAATTAAAAATAAAAGAGTATATTCATCGCTCTTTTAATTACATTAAAAGATGGCTCTTTTTTTTAGAGATCATAGTTGCTCCGTGGCTGTTATCCTTATCACACTAGTTCAAATATTTTATATAATATATACTTATACATTTGTAGACCTTATACCTACTACTGACGAGTCGGTTATTTTAAAAGAGTTAAGACCTTTACGTCCCGCTGTTTTAAAGCATCGTCCTCAAGATGGTTACATTGTTAACCTGACCCTCATTAACAAATATTGTGAACCTGAATTATATGATGTTGATTATTTTGACTCTTTTAATATTCAAGATTGTTTAGATTATCTCGACGAGAAAGAAGATGATTATTTGGTAGAGAATCCAAACTCAAAAATTACTTGCTCTCCAGACAGCGTGCCAATGTTATTTCATGTTTATTGGCGAGGAAGAATAAATGATAAGATTGCGTTGATGATAAAATCTTTTTTATACACTCAACCCCTAGATTGTTCTCTGTTAAACGTTTGGCTAGACCAAAACCAGGAAGCTGACTTTAG